CCCCCCCCCCCCCCCGCCCCTCCTCCCCCTCTGATCCATGCTTCCCCGGCCGCTCCGCCCCTGGCATTTTCTGATTATATTGAGAGAGGCGTCCCCAGTGTTTTGCCCGCCCGCCGAATGCTAATTCCTCCCCTTAGCCAAATTGATCTGGAGCGTGGAGCGAGGCCTCCAGGTAACGCCGTCTTCGACGGAAACACCTAGAAGCTACCGGTTGACGTGATGAAGTCTAGGCGGCAGCCCCGCGGCATTAACGTCAAGCATCGTAATAAACATCCAGGCACTAAGCTACGCCTTAGCTAAATGAATTATAGAGAAGAACAAACGCACATCCATGCTGACTCTCATCTCAGTTAGATGCAGGTGTGCCATCTAAGGGCCTGGGAAGAGGGTAGTTCTGGTGCCTTCTCACCTGTATCGCCCCCTACAGGTGTCAGGGGCTACCTATCATTCAGGCAACGCTAAGGTAGCCATTTTGTGGCATGCGAGCGTCTCATTCCTCACTCCGTAGCCTCTGCCCTGGAGGGGGGTTCCGGCATGGAACCGGCTCACCACAGACTCATCTGCTTCGGCCTTTTCTCCGATGCCCCGGGGCTGATATCGACTCGCATAATCGGACTTTCCTCTCTGGATTCAATATCCTTGTTCTGACAGCAGAAATGAATGTCTGCGTGCCGATCACATAAATCACCCGCCGTGTTTTTGACGGCCTCGTCGTCTGGACTCTTCACCCCCCCATGTCTCATTAAGCAATGGTCTGACCTAAGTTTGGATGCATGCCACTCTATGCCTGTTCCTCCAACAGTGTCTCCATAATTCCCTGTGTGTCGCACATACGTCCACCAGCTTGTGCATACGTGAGAGCGCCTGTGGCACCTACCATTCCTGAGTTATTCCGTTCAGCCTGTGACTCTGAGCGTGACTCACCTTGAGTTTGTGACTCGCGATGGAGTCACTTAACATAGCAGCTGATTGTCCTGGGAAACAGCCAGTGACATCACCGCGCTTCCTGCATTACCCGGGATGGCCCCATGGGGGCGGGTGTCTATGTCCACCTGGCGAGGGAACTGGAGCCCATGTGTCACTTAGATACTCGCATGAACTTGGCTGCCAGGAAGAGGAGGACAAAGCAGGGTTGTGTGGGGGATGGGGGGGCTTATGCTCCCGTGACCCGCTGCAGCTGAAGCCGTTAGCGTCGACTTCACGGCCATTTTTTCCCTCGCTCCCTTTGGCGGGGGGTGACAGAGATGGATGAAGCCAGAGGCCTCCGTTAGCCAGTCAAGCGTGGCCCGGCAGAGTTAATTGAATTCTTAAACAAGTGCTTCCTGCGCCGAACGAGGCCCAGGGGGACCACAGGGTCTAAGCCAGTGGAATCTGTTCCACGCGCTTGTTGAGATGTTTGCGGAGGAGGAACCAAGCTGCCCTACATCCAATTTCAACGTGGTGGGAACCTCCGCTTGTCCAAGATGACATTTGATGTCATATTAATAGTGTGACCAAAACATGATTATAGCGTGACCCATACATGTCAGTCTGCTTTCCGTGTGCTAGTGGCACATGATGTTCCAATTAGCCAGGGATTTACTTCTAGGAGCCTCTGAGGTGTGACCTCCTGTTCTGACTGAGTAAGAGTGTAAACTAGGTCCGTGGAGGACTGGCCTTCACCCCCTCAGGTTTAGACTTGATTAGGTCCCGGTGTGACAGCTCATAATGGTGGAGCTGTAGGGTGGGGGGGGGGGTATTATCATCACCTGCCAATCACTGGCTTGCTTCCCATTGGTTACATTGCTGGTCCTCAGTGAGCTAGATGATTCCACACACTCCCTATCCAAGCCTTTCCTCCCCTCGCTGCCTGACTTTGCCCTGGTTAACCGAGAAACACTAACAGACCTCCTTCTCCACCTCCTCCGTCTCCTCCACCACCTCCTCAGAGGTCACATGCGGGGCTGCAGTTCACTCCCGAGTTCACGGTGCATCAACATCAACAGCAGCAGCATTTGGATAAAAAATCCCTTCTTACCGCACGGCAAAAATTTAACGGCAGTTTGCATTCCGTATTCAAATAAAAGTTACAAACTTCCCAAATTGTGCTAGACGGCCAATTTTTTAGATTCAAATTAGGCCCGGAAACTTCCGGAATTGTGAAGCAGAGATAATTTCTCAGCGGGGGACGTGCCAGCCTATTCACAGGTGTTGTTAGTGGCGAAGCTATGAAACAGTACCATTGTTTGATTATTAAATGCCATTTTGCCTCCCCCCCCCCCAAATGTTTTGGTCCCCTAGCTGAATGCACCCCCTCTGAGAGCTTTTACTTCCCTCAGTGCCTCTGCGTATATAATAATAAATCCTTTCTTTGCCATTTGTACTAGTATGAGTACAGGTACATTAGAATTATTCTCCTCGCTTATCCCGTCTTGTGCTACATAGATGGGGGGGGTCACAGTGTAGGGTCAGCCACAGAAATATGACAGTTCTGCCGAGGCAGGGGCTCAAACCACTGATCTCCCAATCACCAGCACGGAGCCTCTTACCAGACCAAGTGACCTCACTGGTCTCCTCAGTTGGAGCCAATCAGAATCAAGCCTCCAAAGATGCCGGTCTGCTATTGGTATGTTTAATGGAGGATGGTTTTAGATTAATAGACTCCAGTAATGATATTTATAAATCAAAAGCATGTTTTGCAGCAACTAATTTTGCAACCTACTTATGAGTTTATAAGCCGGGTAATAAACAGCATTAAGAGCAGCATAATGATGTCTGTCTTCATTTAACAGCCATCCTCATTACATGTGACAGTGCGAGTTGGGTTGAGATGCAGCTGAGTGTCGTGTTTGTGTCTCGTCATGCAAGCCGGCAGGAAGCGAATGTTCTATATTAGAAAAATCTCCATGTAAACCGAAGCTATCTCTCTGCCCGTGACCCCTGCTGCCCCCTCCCTCACACAGTGACCTCAGCTGAAATTGCTTCAGAGCACACGGCTGACCTACACGTATAAACAACCTCGAGATTTCTGTAGCGGGAGCGGGGCTGCCACGCTAACTCAACGGGCCCGTCGTCAACCTGCTCCATGCTGCCCCCTAGTGGCCATTGCACAGCCGCACAGAGCAGGGAGCAGGGGAGCATGACCGGGTGTGGAGAATGCGGGCAGTTGTGACAGATACTGCAGCGCCATGCTGCCATCCATCATGGCTGGTGTCCGCGTTCCGTTAACCTGCGCGTCTCCATTGCGGACATACATCATCCTTTAGAGTAGATAGGGGCATGGATACCACCATTCCCCCCAGCCAAGCACCCCCACCTGCATCCCCTCTTCCCTTAACGACATCCTCGCCTGCGGATTCACGCCTTCCTGAGTCCTCCGGGATCCACCGATTTATCGTTTTTTTTTGTGGTGTAGTCCCACCCGCAACATTCACCGGAGACTTCCCTCCGCGATTCCATGACTGATGTCATTGCCTCACTTCACAGCTCACGGTTAAGCTCGCCAGTGTGAACTGCACTGGTGGGGGGAGGGGGGATTTTATCGAGTCGCAGTGCATGCGGCCGCCCAACGAGCCCGTGTGATGGCCTCACGTGCACCCTGTTCTTGCCGCGCGTGGGATGATTAAAAGGCCGTTTGGGGTTGAGGCCACAGCCGCCACCCCCGCACTGCGCCACGCCGCGAGGACGTTAATTAGGGTAACAGGGAGGGCATAGAGCAAGCAAGCGACCGGTGCTGTAAATGAAACCGCGAAGCATGTTTCTGCCAGCCATTAGCCAGATACTGACGCACTGACGGGCACAACTGTCCCCCCAATTAGTCTGTGTGGCGGGGGAGAGCCGGCCGCGGTGTGGAGCTTGTCCCGCCGTATTCTTTTAAGCAGGTATTTGTGATTTCAAGGCCAATTATGTGGGAAGGGGCTTCTGTGTGAGGCCTTTAACTGGGGCCACGTGTCTGATGTCTGTGAAAGGCCGTCTGGCCTCCCCGCGTTCCTGCGTCTCCCCGCGTTCCTGCGTCTCCCCGCGTTCCTGCGTCTCCCCGCGATCCTGCGTCTCCCCGCGGTAAAGGCGTGCGTTGTACGTCATAGCCGATCAGCATGCGTGGTCAGAATCGAATTAGCTTGTGATGCTATTGGGACTTTGGCTCAGTGGGTAGCACTAATATCTCACCCTTGCAGTGCCGTGGGTTCGAATCCCCTCTTTGCTGCGTGTCTGTGGTGCAGCATGGACAGTTACTACCTCTATTTTGCGATGGACTGGAATCCAATACTGGATGTGCCCTGTGCTACCGCGAGACGCTCCAGGCTCCAAGCGTCCCTGATCGTGATAAACAGCTGTGAGGTGGATGGATTATCCTTTGCATGTGTCCTGATCTGCTCAGAGTGATGTGAAGAACAGTAATCGATGTATCACAGGTGGGTGTGCAGCTCTGTGACGAGCTGCTCTGTCTGGACATCCAGCTCGCAGGACTTTGCTATAACCTTACGATCAAAGGGACTTGGGTCGGCTCAGGTCAGCCAAGTTCTTCTCCACACTCTCCAACTTTTAATTAGGCCAGTGGAGCACCATTCAGTGCTGTCCGAGCGCGAGGCGCCTGCAGAATCGGCAAACAGTCAGAGGCACCCGCGCCGCTAAATCGGCCCCGGCCTCCTGGGGGCGCCGGGCAGGCCGCGGTGCATAACATCGACATGCCGGAGGTTTCCGTGCGTGCCGGCCAGGGGGATCGTGGGGCCAGTGAAAGGCAAAACAGTCGCAGTTTACAACTGCACCATAGACGGGCCAGAAGCCATTTACATTGATATGCAAATACAGCGTCAGCGCTTGAAGCGTGAACTGATGTTATCGGCAGTGTCGCTCAGTCCCTGCATTGTTTCGTCTGCCCCGCCGTCCCGCTCCCCCGTTACCTTACCGTCCTCTATGCAAAGCTCCGCCGTTAGCGTTTCTGGGGGACGCGCCACAGTTGACTGGCCAAGATCGTGTTTGTCCCCCAGCGATGCTTCTTTGTTTGGCTTTGTCGTCGTGGTGACAGAGCTGGCATGTTATCGGTGAGAGCAATTCGCTTGTCTCGGCCGGCTTCGGAGCCCTGATTAAAGTAAGCGGTTGCCATGGTAAGGATCGTAGATTCGCTTTGCCAAGGACACGTGTATTTTCTCCGCTTTTGTGGAGTCTCTGAGCTGGATGTATGGATATTTGGGCCTTTTGTGAGAGGTTGAAATCCAAGAAGTTTATGAATCTACGTTACTTTAATGGGAACGGGGGCTATGGGGGAGGGTCAAACTAGAGTGGTATCTGACGGTATGGTCTTATTTTCAGATTCAGATTCGGAAGGAAGTTGCTGCTGGACCTTTGAGTCCCTCTGTTGTTCTCTGTCGCTGTTGAACCTTTGTCTGTCCGCAGCCTCGTCTCCCACGCCCAACATCACCCTCCAGGGTTGGTACCGCTGTCACCAGGGACCTCTGATCGCCATGGGACGCATGTGCGATTTCCGGATGGACTGTCCCCATGGCGACGACGAAGGACACATGTGCAGTGAGTTCCATGTTCAGTGCCATGTTACTCTTGAATCCTCCTTTATTTGGGCCAGATGTGAGATCTTTTGAGGGATCAGAAGCTGGGGTTGTCCGTGGTATCCTGTGAGGCCTTTTATCAGCAAGTCTTTGTTCCCGTATTAATGGGCTTCAGCAAGGTATGACACTGGGAGCTTAATGCTGCAGACGTGTTGTTAATTAATGTATTACATACACACACTGGTTCATGGAAAAGCTAAAAATCAGTGTGCTACTCTACCCCCACCTTCAGCGGCAAAGCAATTCAACAGGAACACTCAAGAAGCCATCAAACAGCCATCTTGTCTTCTCTGAAGATAACCTCTGTGATTCTGGTTATTTAAGACATTAATCTTTCAAGTAAAGCAATGTGGACATGCGCAGTGAATGTGGAATAGTTAGTTTAACACCAGGAACATTACATGGTGCCTAGCTAAAATAACTCTTTTTGGTATACGGATTTGCTTCGAGCTCAGAGGATCCGCGGCCTTCAAATGGAGCTTAAGACGTGCTCTGCGTATGTTTTAGACAGATATATTTCTTGTGCTTCTGCACGTTCATATCTCTGTGTCAAGCTCAGGTTCAGCGGCTTGTGATTTAAGGGTCCAGCTGTGTCTGAGGTCCTCTCAGGCGGTATAGCAGTACAGCGGGGGCAGCTTTATGGGCTTCCTGGGGGGCAGACAGGAGATGCCGGGTGAATCCACAGCACATTTCGCCACCAGGGATCATATTAGGTTTTACTGCGAACCGTGTTTGTATTACAAATTGTCTCGCAACGCAGAAAGTAGCATTTTCTGGTTTGAAAGTTTGGCTGATGCTGACGGCTACTGGTGCAGCGCACAATTGTGACAAAGTACAACCTTTTTCTTTTTACACGAGTTCAATCTGTGGGACACTGAGTCCATTTTCGTTCACATCACTATGTCAGCAGAAACAACTCTCTTGCTGGGCTCCTCTCCGATCTCTCTCTCCACACGCTGCAGCCTAAATTGCTATTCTGGCAGCAAAATTATTGCCACGTTCATCACCAAGGGACTTTATCAGAGGAATTAGTGCGAGTGTGTGCCACACACGTCTCTAGAGATGGTGCTGTGATTTCAGATGGTGAAGGCATCTCTCATGCCATTCTGTGATCCAGCGATGTTTTTAAGTCTGCTCTCAGCTGTCTGTAAGTCTGCTCTCAGCTGGGGGAATGCTCGGATTCTCCAGGCGAACACCTTACGGATCAATGGTCTCCTTCCCAAAGATTCTGATTGCGCTGGGAGCCGGTAGGTCAGGGGGAGGGGCCGCCTTCCGCGTCGGCGTCACTCGCAAAGGTCACGGCTGCACCATCGGGCCCTTCCGTGAGGAACGTGGTCCGTCGCATTTCCACCCCAGGCGACCACACCAGCGTAACTCAGCCTCCCGTTATGGCGAAACCGAAGACGCCTTTTCATCGACTTAGCGTGCATTGCGGGCTTGCGACATCCTCAGAGCCTTGGCAGCTAAATGAAGCCCCCCATTCTTTCCTGTACTTTTACCCCCCCACCACCCACATGATTACAAATCAGTATAAAACAAAGCTTTTATTTAACCTGATAACAGATAACTGATAACCGTTCCCCCCCGACGGCCATGTTGGGGAATCCCAGCCTTGCCACACAGCATTCTGATGTCCACTGCGTCTGGCTCAGACTAGTCTAGAAGATTCTCTGATGCCCAATTACTCTGCTCACACCTGGGCCTTTATGTCCTCTGTCTCTTACATCCCCGCCAGGGACGCCATCTATCATCTGCTTGCACCATGTCTCTAGGACCATTAGCACCCATCCAGCACCGTCATTTTATGCTCTCTCTCTCCCTCTGTTATTCTTTCATTCTGCCACTGTCCTGAGACCCCCTCCCCAGCTGCTCTCTCTCCCTTCGCCCCCACACTCACCCCTTTTGTGTCTTTTCTCCACTTTGACAGGTCATTTTATCAGCGGCAGCTACTGCTCGTTTGAGGCCGGCGACTGTGGATGGCAGTCCGTCTCCCCGCGGGGCCCATCCTGGAAGCTCCAGGCCTCCGAGCCAGGAGCCCCCGCCACGAGCTGTCAGCCCCGAGGTAGGGGGAGGGGGATATGAAGTAAACAGCCTGAAAGCCAAGGGACGGGGGCCTCTTTTCAGCTAGCCTGTGAATGTCATGCATCCGCAGGGACGGTCATGGCTGCAAGAGGCGGTCAGTCTAAAGGCCAGCAGGGGGCAGCGTTGCTCAGGAGCCCTCTTTTTCCGCCACCTCTCAGGAACTCCCTATGCGTGGTAAGAGGAACAGCCGTCGCATGGCGTCATGCCCAGCTAGGTTAATGAAACAGGACCCTGACCGGCTGCTAATGAGAGAGCTCGTGCATCATTAGCGCTCGCGCCGTGAAACACAGCGTCAGCCATCTTGAGCTATCATGTAAATTGGACGTCATTCCTCGGGGGGGCGTGGTCAGCAGGAGTATAATGTCAGGGTTTATGGGGACTCCTCCTGTCCCTGGTTCACGTGTCCTGTGGGGAGAGATAACTGGCACCGGCTGACAGGCAAGATGAGCAATCCGCTTTCCAACTCTCCTGACCCGGAAACAGCAAGAAACAGTCCAAAGCACAAAAAGTTGTAGTCACTCAAAGCAAAAGAATGTATTTTTTTTGTTTCCACTCTAAGCCTTGTTATTAATAATTTCTATGTGAACTTTGATTAATACATTTATCTGCTCAGTGTCTGGGGTGTAAATCTGATCTTACATATTTTATGCATTACAGGATGTTGTCTGTTTTGAACCCTGTGCAATGGCAGTTTTTCTGTACCCGATACTTGCTGGAGCAGTTTAATGATTCTGAGCGGCACAGCTGCACCGCACGGCCCCTGTGTGGCGGCGAGGCGTTTGAGCGTTATGGCTCTGGATCGCATCCCACTGCGCCATCTGTCAAACGGGCCCGTCTGTGGTATTGCTGTGGGCCGGAGACCATTACAGTGGTCGGTACCAGCATTTACAGGATGATACTGGGTTATTTACATTATTTTCAATCCTGCCGACCTCCCCAGGTCCGTTTCTGGATGTGTTCCGGAGGCCTCCACAGGGGGGCGCTGTCTGTTTGGGTGGTAGAGAATGGCACAGGGCCCGACATACGGCGGAGCCTTTGGGACTCGGCTGCCGAGGCCCATGCAGGACCAGGCGGGAGGCTGGTCGTCATCCCGCTGTACGGGCTAGCGGACTGGTAAGGCAAACCTGGTTGGGGACATTAGCATAACGAAATTCCCACCTCTACCTTCAACCCAAAAATGAGTTCCGCTGACAGTCACGATGCGCCCTGCTCAAGCACCACGCGCCGTCGACCAGATTTATGCAGGAAAATTCAATTTAAAAATCCCCACGTCGTAAACACGCCAAATCATCAAATACCCAAGGACGACGCCCCCTCCCTGCAACAGCTAAGGCATCCTTTTATTTGAGATACAGAATAAATATTCAGTGTTACTGTTAATTTTCCTGGTTTCATAAATGGCATAATTTATTGCCCCCCTTTATCGGATGCAAATGTGCGAGTTCTTGCTGCAGCGGGAGATAACCCTTTCGGCGTGTAAGCTTAATGAGTCCTGCTGGGCAGGGCTCCCGGGGGTGTCCTCTGATGCCTCCTTTAAAGAGACGGGGGAGTCTGTGTAGCTCGGGCCCCCGTTTCCCCCCCCCCCCCAATTAGCCGTGGCACTTGAGTGTTTCCCAAGCACGGCGATGAGAAACGTCTGTTCTGTCTCCAAGTGGACGAGCCCGTCGGCCTGGCTTCAGTGTCATGGCCGGGGGCAGTCGGGGTCTGGGGGGAGTGACGGAAATGCCAGGCCGACTGCATATGCCGGTCCGTACCCTTTGTGAGTGAGCCGGGTCTCTGCTGCTCCAATGCCGTATCAGATCTTAGGTCCAAAAGCCTAAAAGAGAAAAAGCAAGACCCTGTCGGGGGGGGGGGGAGGGGATGCAGGCCGCACACCAGCATCGGAACACACCGCTTGGGGTGGCAGCAGAGCCAAACTGGGTCACGGGTCTATGTGTGTCTGATGACATCTGGGTCGCTCGCCGGGCTGGACACCCCCGGCTCGCAGTCTCACAGCCGTGGGGATGTGTTGACCTTCTCCTTTTGCCACGGGACAGGTTCTGGCTGCAGTTCAGCGCCGAGGAACTCTCAGGTCCTGGGTCGGTCCTCTGCCTGGACAACATCTCCCTCAGTCTGGACTGCTTCCTGGCCTGTGAGTACAGAAGCTCCTGGAACGCTGAAAGATCATCCCTTCTAGCACACTCTTTCTTCCTGCCTCGTTCGGCTGTTTTCTGGATCAATATCAGACCAAAAAGTTCATCTCAGGTTTTCAAATACATCACTTTAAAGCTGAGGTTAAATGGTCTTAACCTTCATCTCTATTGAGCTAACTGCTGAAAAAAATGGCCGCTCTCATTGTCTCTAAGGAAGGAAGGGCCCCTGCCCACCACCTTCTGATTGGCTGGCAGCCACAACTCCCATCTTCTCCCTGAAATTTATGCCACTCCCCAAGATAGGCAGTTGTCAGCTGCAGTAATGTAAACAGGGCATTAAAGGCAGCTAAACCCATTTCCTTAAGAAGCTGGAAGGGACTTCTGAGGATTCAATGGCTCCAGATCTCCTGCTTAAACGCTGATGATTTTAGTTGGCTGACTAGTTTTCTTCATGAAATCGGGGCCAGACTGAATAACAAACGGGCCTCTATCAGCTGTGGCGACAAGGGCAGAATCTCAATACAGCAACAAAGTCAGTGTGGAAACCATATTTAGCAAGGAGCTGTATGCTGATTACTTACGGTTGGCTAAGGGTTTGTCCTCGACTCCCGCTTGTCAGCGTAATGACTCTGCAGGGATGTGCAAATGACACGGCGGTCGTCCCCTCGGTGGCTTTTAGACAGCCGAGGGAGGCTGTCGTAACCGTAGCCACCCTGACCCACGTAGGCTAAAGCGCCCGGCCTATTACACGGGAATTAGCAGTGTTTAGGCTGGGCCACTGCAGGGGCGGCTCGCAGAAGGATGATGCGTGTCCAATGCGCGGTGATTTGTTTGATAGAGCTGTTTGGAGATGAGATTACGATTCGCGGAGCATTCATCTCCGCCGAGTCGCAGGCGTCGTCAATCACGGGCGCCTCGTTGAGCGGGACATTTGTGCGATTTTGTTTTTAATATTTTCCGTGAATCCGCTTTGAGCTTTGTTTACTTGGCTTGCATGCCGTAAATATTGATTCAGTTGGATAACGCTAGCCTAAAGCACAGCAGATGGCGCTATTTCTGTGTAGTCAGGTGTCTTTTATTGGAACTGATGTGGCTGTGAAGGTCCAATGACGGGTTCTGGCCTCTGTTATGCCCTCGACCTCAAAAAAATCCTAGAATCACCCCTAGTTGAATGTACAGATGATGTTGGGCTCTGACTTTCCCAATCATCCTGTTTTTCAAAGCCTGTTTCCCATGTTGAGATTGACCACAAGGTTTTGCGGGATGAACAGTGAGATCTAGGTTTTAATAATGGCTAATTATGTTTATGAAGCTGTTTTGTTCTTTTTGAATACCCCAGCCACCAGTGTTCCCCAGGCTTCTCTCCAAACCAGTTCCTGCCAAACCGTTGTGATTTTACGGGGGGG